AGAAAGAAGGGCAGGAATAGTTGGACATAAACATAAGATTGATGTGGACTGATAATTTATGCTATTTTTCTATAGTTCTAAAAGCAAAATGTTATCTCACTAGAGTTAGTTGCCATGTGGGGACAGATACCTACTCATTGATGGAATGGTAGAGCTTTGCTATTCCTTGGTGAGTCCAATCTTTACCCAGCTGTGGGAGAATCTGTCCCAAAGCATCAGACCTAAGATGATGGAAAAGGATTGAGAATTAAAACGTAGAGAGTCAAGTGTGTTTCTATTCAGTTGAGTATTAAATGCAGCCAATAAACACTGGGTAAGAGGGCACACTACAAACAGATCTCATCCTGGCTTCGTGCAAACATGAGGAAGCCCCCTGCAAATACTTCCACTGAGAAGCTTCTACAAATAAAGTCACACGAGAGTCATATGTTCATTTTCAGACATCATTTACAATCACGCATTAAAATTTGGAGGAGAAACAACTGAAATATTCCAAAGGCTATTTTTGATGTTATATTTGTTTAGCTCCAGCCACCTTCTCCATCCATAAAAATGACTGGAGCACTACACTCGGGCCATCTCATTTAGCTCCACCCACCTTCTCCATCCATAAAATGACTGGAGCACTACACTCGGGCCATCTCAGGGCATATGGTTTAAAAAGCACTACTGACCAGCTGAGGGCTGGTGTCTCAGAAGGACCCTCCCCATCTCCCACATCACGAACACAGCTCTCTTGCCACCCACAGTAGCTTGAGCTTACTTGGTGATTGTGCCATCGATGTCGGAAATGATGACCTTGTCGTTCCAGTTCCACAGGTAAATGGTGCCTGCACAGCGGCAGGTACCTTGATACTGGGTAGTAATACTGAATACAACATCATTCGGGCCATCATGGAGCTTCAGTTTTGCCTTTTATAAAAAGTGTAAGAACAAAAGAAATCACCTGAAAACATACAGTTTGAGACAGTTTAAATATGTACAGAACAACCACCAGTGTTTTAGAACCAAAACAACCTCAAGGTGGGACAGTTTCTTTGGCGTTAGCACACAGCCCAGCCAGCCCAGGGTGAGCATGGTCACAGGGGACGGGCTGAGTCACTGCTTCTAAGTGTCTTAAGATGCAAGAATTTCTCTGCTCACAGGACAGAACCTCTCTGCTCCTCCCCTCTACCTAGGAATCACTGCCCTGGCCACTGCCTCCTGCTAGTCCCAGCAAGACCATTTTGTACTCAAAATTGGTCACAATCAGGGCATGGCAATAAAGAGGAAAGGGGAAATTGTGCGGCTCCCAAGACATAATACAGTGATGAGCTAAGTATGATAGATTCACCAGGAAAATGTTTCCTTAGTTCTTTCTCAGAGCCAGAGCCTAGAGGTCTGGGGGCATGGGTGGAGGAACCTGTGCTACAGGCTTCTGGGTGGTTCACTGAAGGTGGGGGGACAGTGTTCCACTGTACATGGGCATACATGTGAACACACACCATGGAGCATGTGTATGGCTGGGGAATGGGATGGACTGAAGAGAAAGCACACAAAATTCAACAGTCTTTAAAATAAGTCCTACTGATCCCACATGGACCACAAAGGACTCACGATCTGGTCTGAGGAGAGTCGAAGAGATTTCTTGTAAGATGTTGTGCTGCCGTGGCTCATCTGCTCTGGGGGGATAGGGTCCACTGTGATTGATTCTTCAAGCTCCTGGGACCCTTCATCACTCGACGAGTCACCCTCAGCTGGCCTGTTCAAAACCAACCCAGTTTGGGACCAGCAGTTGGCATAATGGCTGTGTCGCTGGACTCCCACGTAGTCGACCGTGGTTCGAGTCCCAGACCCGGTGGCTTGGACTCATGCCGGGCACGTGTGCGTGCATGCCCAGGATCCCGAGAGGAGAGTGGAGGAGAGGGGATTGTGGCGTGGCCATCCCCCCTGGGGGGTGATTTCCTGCTTTCTGTCTCTCTGTCTCTCTCTGTCTGTCAGGCGAGCGCACGCGCCCTATAGCAAAAACCTCTGAAAAAAAACAAAACAAAACAAAACAAAAAAAAACAAAACCCAACCCAGTTAGAGCAGCAGGGAACTTGATGAAAGTTTTTCATTTAGAATCAAGAAAATAAAGACAACTCGGATCTTTTCAAGGCATGGGAAAGACTGTGTCCTCTGCCACAGTTCCATATGCATGGTTTCATCTTACGATTGAAATATTCTTACCATCAACTAATAAAGCCATCTCCTGTCCCCCTCATAACTGGCCAGCAGTTGCTTTCTATGACCTGGTATTTTACACTATACACAGTGAATGCTATGAGGTCTACTCTTATTAAACGGGATATACAATGTATGTTACAAATTAAGAGAAGCATACTTGCTTATATTGATTTTAGAAGGTTGCTAGGGAAGATTCTATACACTCTTTAAAAAGAAAGTAAAGAGCAAGAAAATAAAACTCTCGGGCTTAAGACACTAATGAGTTAGGGAATGAAAAAGAAGGGAAAAATTAAATTGGGAAAAGTAAACAGATGAAAGAAAAAGAATGAGGCCTATCATGAACATCTCTTCTCAGAGATGGCTAACTCAAATGTCCAAAGGAACTGAAATGCATCCAAACCAATCCTTCAGATTCATTTTTATGTCTCCCTTTGGCATCTAATAAGCAGCAGGGGGAGGAAGTGTATGGGGGAAATACCCTTTATCATTCCTTACCACCCTTTCCTAAAGTCCTACATTTTCTATGGCTCTGTGATGGGGCAAGGTATTTAGGAAGCAGGGATGAATATATATACTGCTCTAAGCCATTGTACTTTTTAGAAAAGCAGCTGTTATCTATTAGTAGAGTGAGACAAAGAAGACACTTGATGTCATATCAACAGGAAAGAGCCATTTCTGAACTAAACAAAACTGCTACCATCAACTTAGAAGCAATGGGTAAAGCAGGAGTAGGCCAACTGCTGTGAGTGGAGAGAAAGAACAGGGTGACCCCACCTGGCACTGGCTGTCTCCTCTGTGCTTGATGGCAGGTCACTTGTCGGTGGTGCCTCAGATTTTCCCTCCTTGGCCTCTGGGAGCTGCAACGACAAGATGATAATGGCAGCATGCTATTTTTTTCCCTGCAGACTAGTCAAAATTCATCAGCAGCCATCTTTAAGAAGGAGCAAAATTGCTTTCTGAACCCAACAATGAAACAGATTTTTCTTTACTTTGAGCCAAAGGACAGAAACTTCAGATAGAACTCATCTGCTGCTATGCAAAACATCTGTCCTTCTGGAGCCAACAGTAAAAATCTTAAAAGACGGACCAGCAGATGGTGTAATGGTATATCCCTGGACTCCCAACGTAGTCAACCATGGTTCAAGTCCTGGACCCGGCAGCTTAAATAACACTGGACATGCTAGCATGCCCGCAATCTTTTTTTTTTTTTTTTTTAAAAGGTTTTTGCTAAAGCTCACCAGAAAGACAGAGATATAGAAAGCAAGAAATCACCCCCCAGGGGGGATGGCCATGCTGCAATCCCTTCTCCTCCATTCTCCTCTCGGGATTTGGGAACGCATGCAAACATGCCCAGTGTGAGTTTAAGCCACCGGGTCCGGGACTCGAACCGTGGTCGACTACGTGGGAGTCCAGCGACATAGCCATTACGCCAACTGCTGGTCCCATGCCCGAAATCTTGAGAGGAGAATGGAGAAGGGATTGCAGTGTGACCATCCCCTGTGGGGGGTGGTTTCACTCTTTCTGTCTGTCTCTCTGGTAAGCGCCCGCACCCTATAGCTAAATTCTCTTAAAAAAGAATAGTTTTTAAAGAGCATCATTTCAGGCCACAAAATTTAATAAAACAAGCCCAATCTCGTTAGGTCCCCAGCAGACAAACTCCCTGGTGTCTGTGAAATAAGTTATTGACGTTTCCTCCTCCTGGCAGCAGCTCACCATGTGCAGGAAAAGGGACTGGATGGCTGATGTGCACATCAATTTTATTCATTTGAAAACAGGTAAACTCTCTGAATTCTCTTTTTTCAGAAGGCTCTGAGAAATGATTTGATCTACTACTCAGTACAGTTTTCCAGATGAATTTGTTTTATGGCAGATGTTGGTTATTTAGACTTGGCAGGAGGACAATAACCTCTTGCTGAGGTCTGAAAGGCAATGCAGTAAAGTGAAGAGAGTGCAGGCTCTGGAGTCAATGTCAAGCCCCAGTGCCATCCCTCATCAGCTATGTGACCTTGCTGAGCTAGGTCATACCTCTTTGCGCCCAAGCTTCCTTTCTAATTCAAGAGCCTCTAGTGCTGAGCACTTGTAAAGGCTAGAGATAATGTATTAAAGGACCCCATGCAGGACCTACACATGGTAACTGCTCAAAAAGGTAACTATTATTATCATGAAATAACAATACATAGCTCACTTTCTTGTGCTTGGCAAAAAGGTCTTTTTGAATGAATTAAAGTTTCCCTTCTATTAAGTCTATGGAAAAAACTACCTCTAGGTCTGTTACCTGTTTTGTCATGCTTTCTCTCTTCCGCCAAAACCACCAGCGACCAGATTTCTTTGGCATCTTGTCTTTGACCCAGGACTCAACTGTGGCCTAGAAATAATCAACTCAGTTTAGTCTGATCAATTTATTGGTCATAAAGCTTTTGGCTATTTTCTACCATTAACCTATAGGATGGTGCCTGGTTGTGAAGTGTAAGGCTGTGAGGATGTGAGGATGCTCTCCACACCTTCCAAACTCCTCCAGGGTTTTTAACATCTCTGAAAGATGGCCAGTGTCTAGCTTTTGTGGCGGCTCTGTGGTGTGAGGCCAAGCAATTTGACTCTGGAGGACCTTAGGGGCTGACAGGTAGGCAGTTCTCATTTCTTTGTCTTTGGAAAAGGGGGTTGTCATGAGTAATTATGACCAACTAGGCTGAGGATGTCTTCTCGGTGGACAGATTAAAAACAAATCTTCGGGGTCTATGTAACAGATGTTTAACCTAATTACATTAATGCCATGCTTCTGTTGGCCATGACATTTTTCTTGCTACTGCTTTCCATAGCAAGGAAGTTTTCTTCATTCATTTCATACTTAGTTTATAATCAGTAATATCCCCCAACTTTTATACACCATCAGAAGCTGGTATAACTATCTAGCAAAAAATGCCAGAAAGTGGCAGCCTAGCTCATTTGAGGTATGAGATATTTTCAGAGAGCATATAAGGTTCTTGGATCTTTTATATTATATATTAAATAAGGCTCTGATATGTACACACAGGCGAAGTCAGTCCTGTAACCTAGTGGTTAAGGGAGCAGGTTCCCACATGGCCAACTACAGTTTGAACCCTAGCCCTGGTGGCTCGAAAAACACATTGGGCATGTGTGTGCATGCTTGAAATCCTGGTAAGAGGGAGAAATAGGTAACAAGAGATTGTGGCACAAACTTGATCCATTAGGGGGTGCTTTCTACCCTTTTATCTCGTGAGTGTACACCATTTGGCAATAAAAAAAAACCCCAAACCAAGAAATATGCACACAGGAGTTTTCATAGGTAATCTGTGCTATTGATACTTTGAAGGTGGCAACAGATATGGATCATCTCACCTTAGGCAGACTCTTCTGGAAGACTTGTAAGCTAAGGATCATGGGAGCAGCCAAAGCCCAGTTATAGTAACTGTGAGGAAAAAAAGTGTGTAAAACCATTACATGGTGAGAAAGAGCAAGAGAGAACAGAAGGAGAGGGAATGAGAGAAGTAGAAATAACTTATGAAACTGCTTATTCTTTCTCAATAAAAAGATGATCAGCTAAATTTTTTGTCAAATAACCAATCTTTGTTTTATGCTAAATTTCTCTAAGTAGTAAAATCTATAAAACAGTATTTCAATTCCTCACTTAAAAATACACTTCACTTCGGGACCAGCAGTTAGCGTAATGGCTATGTCGCTGGACTCCCACAGAGTCGACCGCGGTTTGAGTCCCGGTCCCGGTGGCTTCAAACTCATGCCGGGCGCGTGTGCGTGTGTGCCCAAGATCCCGAGAGGAGAATGGAGGAGAGGGGATTGCGGTGTGGCCATCTCCCCTGGGGGGTGATTTCTCGCTTTCTATCTCTCTGTCTCTCTCTGTCTGGCGAGCGCACATGCACTATAGCAAAAACCTCTCCCAAAAAAAAATACACTTCACTTTCACTTTAAAGTCATTAACCATTGGTTCATTTTTATAAGATGAAAAATTTTATTACAAGAAAAATAGTTAGAAATAGCACTAGTAGAAAAGAAAAAAAGCCTGCAAGAGCACTCATTCATCAAAGCACAAGAACTTACCGGTTATATATCCGTATTACAAGGTTAGGATTGTCTATAAGTCCAGGGTTTTCTGCAAATTCATGATAAGTAATGATATGCTCCATGAATTTTTCTGCAATGTAAAATAGTAATGATAAATTTGGTTAGAGATTACATAAATCCCTAAAAGAGATTATTACAATGCTCTCTGCATTGGAATTGTAGACTGAAACAAAGTAAGTCCTTTTATTAAAAAACTTAAAAAAAAAAATATCCATCAAAGGCAAAATGTCAGACACTTTCTTTTTCAGGACAAGGAACTTTTCTATTCTCCCTCTCTTCTATCATTTTTCTTCCTGTTAAAGACAGACAGACAGAAACAAACAAACAGGAAAAAGGGACATACCAAAGACTTTTAGGAAACCATTATGGAGTATCCAAAAAGTGACAGAAATACACACACATGCAGTATAATGAAAACTGTAAGTTACATTTTCATCAAGAGGAAGAAGCTTAGGACCAGCAGTTGGCATAATGGCTACGTTGCTGGACTCCCATGTAGTGGACTGTGGTTCGAGTTCCAAACCTGGTGGCTTAAACTCATGCCAGGTGCGTGTGTGTGCGTGCCTTCCCAAGATCCCGAGAGGAGAATGGAGGAGAAGGGATTGCGGTGTGGCCATCCCCTCTGGGGGGTGATTTCCTGCTTTCTGTCTCTCTGTCTCTGTCTTTCTAGCGAGCACACGCGCCTTGTAGCAAAAACTTCTCCAACAAAAAAAAAAAAAAAAGGAAGAAGCTTTATTGGCAGGCAAGTGAGTAATTGGGGGTCTTACAGCTTGAAGTATATAACTACATTAGAACAGAATAACCTGGGTCAGTCCCCTAACCTAGTGGTTAAAGGTATAGGATCCCCACATTACCAAATGCAGTTTGGCCAGCCCTGGTGGCTTAAAAATCATGCTGGGTGCCTGTGTGTGCATGTCTCAAATCCCGACAGGACGGAGAAACGGAGGAATGGGACTGCGGCATGTAAATTCCCCACGGTGGGGGGGTTGTTTAATTCTCCCCACTCCTTCACTCTCTGGTGAGTGTGCACAATCTCTGGGTATTAATGGGAAAAAATATTAACACATTTCTTTCTTAAAACTGCCTGGAGAAATAAAAATCCCACCCGGAACTGTGCTTGGGGTCTGTCAAGAAATGAGCCCCAAGTTGCAAGGTGAACAAGGATCTCAGGTGAATTTTGTGTCTGCACTCTAGCAGATCTAGGTTACAGACATTTCTCACTGGGATCATTCCTCCAGGCCATGTATACAGTATTCACTTTTACTGCCAGTCCATCTCATGCAGTAACAAACTCGACTAGACCAACTTACCAATATTCAAGAGTGTAAATTTTGTATTTTATATAAATTTTGTTTTCTATCTTTTCTAACTTTTATAAGCTGAGGTGTTTATAAAGATTACTAAATTAACGTAGCTTGTTTAATTCTGTTCCTTGAAGGGACCACTGGCCATAACACACTCTTGATTTCTTGCAAAATACAAAGCAAACAGGGACCAGCAGATGGTGTAATGGTTGTGTCACTGGACCCCTATGTGGTCAACCATGGTTCGAGTCCTGGACCAGGTGTTAAAGCTCATGCTGGGCATGAATGTGTGCACACCCAAAATCCTGAGAGGAGAATGGAGAAGGGATTGCGGTGTGGCTATCTCCCCAGGGGTGATTTCTTGCTTTCTGTCTCTCTGGCAAGCACACATATCCTATAGCAAAAATCTCCCTTATATATTTATATTTTTAAAGAAAAATAAAATGTAAAACAAACAGAGTGAGCAGATGGAGAAAATACACTATCACATCTTGTAACCCTAAAATGAAAAAACTTAAGACACTGACCACTCAGTCTACCACATCCTACCTTCACTGCCTTTGATGCTGACAAGATTATGCTAGTCACAGAAAATCTTTCCTTAGAGGAAAATCAAGGGTCACCAACTAAACTAAGACAATATTAAGAAGATTCTAATTTTAAAAAGAAGATAAAGGCGAAAAGCCAGAGGACTTCAGGACAGATGCACAATACAGTGCCCGAACTCAGTGAGAGCTGTCCTAACTGACCAGGCTCCTTCCATAGGAGCAAGCTTGACTCTTGTGGGCCAACTCTCCAGCCCAAGATAGAAAGTAATCCTTTTTTTTTTTTTTTTTGCCAGAAAGACTATTTACTAAGTAGGCAATTGATTTTCTCTAACTTTAGAGCTCAGTGCTTTCCAAGAGGGCAGCTGGGCCTCAGGCCCCTGAATATTTCAGTAACTTTATGGTTGAGAAAACCAATGCAATGTGACCTAACCTGACTACTCAGCAAACAGTGAGAACTCTTAACCTTTTTACTTGATATTAGAGCCTTTAAGGTGCATTCTCTCACTAAAGCCACACCATAGGAGCCACCTCAAAGTGACCAGGCTCCTTCCATAGGAGCAAGCTTGACTCTTGTGGGCCAACTCTCCAGCCCAAGATAGAAAGTAATCCTTTTTTTTTTGCCAGAAAGACTATTTACTAAGTAGGCAATTGATTTTCTCTAACTTTAGAGCTCAGTGCTTTCCAAGAGGGCAGTTGGGCCTCAGGCCCCTGAATATTTCAGTAACTTTATGGTTGAGAAAACCAATGCAATGTGACCTAACCTGACTACTCAGCAAACAGTGAGAACTCTTAACCTTTTTACTTGATATTAGAGCCTTTAAGGTGCATTCTCTCACTAAAGCCACACCATAGGAGCCACCTCAAAGAAGCCTATGGCCTGGCATTGTAGGAAGATGCCTGTTATCTGCACAAGATCACTTAAGAAAACAAAAACTAAACTCTGTCTTTCTGACTTGGCTAAATGGCAGGTTTCTAATCAAGCACTGACCAAGATGGTTTTTGAAGTGAAGACAGGGCAAGACTACCGGACATACCTTTAGAAATTTCTCCGTTTTCACTGAGGCCCCCACAAAGGGACAGGGTGACATCAGGCAAGTCCATGGCAGAATCGGAGAGGCACTCAGTGCCACTATCAGCAGCTGCACTTCCCACAGACTGGGGTGACTGGGAGCCAGAGAGTGTGTCAGACTCAGGCCACTGTCTCGAGCCAGGGTCAGATTCACTGTGGGCAGGGGATTGGGAGAAAAAGGTCTGATTTATTGCAATGTTTTATACTTTAATCTTACTAGTTGGCTCTGAGGGCTCAGATCAAACAACCACCCCCTCAAACAAATGATCAGACATAGCATTTTTAAAGTCATGTTTAATATCATGTTATAAATGGCATTAAAGATAACCTAAATAGTGCTGAGAAATTAACCGTGAATATACCTCACAAAATCACCAGTCATTCACAACAATGCAAACATTCCAACTATGACCTTTATAATTTCAAAGGAATAAAAGAGTTTATTGGCATTTATTTACATTTCTATGATGAAAATGATAAGGTGAGGTTATTTGGGGGCCAACAGCATAGTGGTTGGACATTGCTGGACTCTCACATGGCTGACCACAGTTTTAAGTCCCAAACTTGGTGGGTTGAAAATTGTGCTGGGCATGTGTGCATGCATGCCCAAGATTCCAGAAGGAGAATGGAGAAGGGATTGTGGCATGACCATCCCCCTGGGGGGGGTGATTTCTCACTTTCCCCCTGTTTACTTTCCCCCTGTTTCCATCTCTTTTTCTCCCTGGTGAGCACATGCACATGCAAAAACCTCTTAAAAAAAAAAAAAAAGAGAGAGAGAGAGAGATGAGGTTATTTGGTATTTTCATTTTTCTACATGATTAAGCACAAAAGCAAGGGTTTAGAGGTGAACTTAAGGGTCATCTTTTGTAATGGAGTATAGACCTGAGAGAAAAAAACAAGGAGGGTTGCAGGGCAGTAATGCACTACTCAAAGGAAACTGGATCCCACAGGGTGATCACAGTCCAAATCCCTAGCCAGGCTGGCCTGAGAGATGAGCACGTGCACGTGAGCAAGTGCCTGAGATCCAATGGACTGGAGGACCTGAAGAAGGAGACCACAGCATAACAGGATCCCAGGAGGGTGCTCCTTTCTCTCTCTCCTTATGAGTATCCATATGAGTTCTACCATGCATAAAGGAAAAAAAATTTAACCCTCCCAATCCTCTCCCCTGTGTCTATTTATAAATTAAAAAAATACAAAGAAAGGTAACTATTAATAGCATCAAGGTTTCTTAGTCATGATGAATAGTCTATAACCTCTGAATAGCTATTTTAACATAATATTTGAGATGTGGTCTTACAATTAAATGTACTTACTCTATTCAAAAAGCCTACATTTTAAATGTTCGATTAAAAAAAGTCAATGTATGAGACCTAGTGAAGTCATATGATCTTTTAAAAAGTCTAATACTTGAGCAATAGATGGCAACACAAAACAGATATAGTATAAACAGAAAGCACTTCTGTATTTAAACCAATGAAAGATTTAGATTTTTGGAAATTTTCTCTTTTTAATAATGATGCACACCCATACCACGAAATTGAGATGAACTCAACTGACAGAATGTTCTGTATGAAATAGTAAAAACCCAGTGTCTGCCAATCAATATACGGCAGCAAAAACTGTTGTCATGCTGCGGTGGAGGGGCAAGGCCACATCTTGTAAAGCACCAACAGAAGACTGCTGTGTGCTCACAAGTACCCATGTTCTCTTCCATCAGGACATACTGCCCTTGCAGTTAGTTGTGGTCACCAAACATATGACTGAGCTGTTGATGTGACCAAAGGGTTTGCCATATCCTTCCCAAATGACCCTCCACTGGGCATCCTTTCTCCTTTCCCTGATTGTTATCTATACATGTTAGACTCTGAGGCCCCAGAGGAAGATGGGCTTCAAGATGGAAGGAGCTTGTGGTTCCTGAATCCCTGTGTACAAGGCCTCCAAATGAACACCAGAATGTTTTGACATGAGCAAGAAATAAACTATAGTGGTGAGCCAGTGAGATGTTATCAGTTACAGTTACAGCACACAGCTTATCCAATTAGCTAAAAAACAAAACACAAAGGATGCCATCTGACTCAACATGTTGCCAAAGCCACAAGGGTGTATGATTTGCATTGAAGTTTAGCTATAATTATAAATACTGGATACTTGATAATAAAGATGAGAATGATTGTAACAAAACAAATGCTCATAAGCATTAAACAGTCTCATTATCTTTAAGTATTTATGAAATGTCTCAAGAAGTAATTAGCCGGTGAGGTAAGCAGCTTACTTAGTGGATGGAAAGTGACACTAAATAGTGCAATTTTAATAGCGGATAATAAAGCCACGCCACATTAGTCACTCTCTACATTTTTTAAAAAGGAAGCTAAGAAATCTACTAAGGAGTACCAACATAAATGAGTAAAGACAGAAATAAGAAGGTAATCATTCTAACCTTATATTTTAACATTGCTATTGGTAATAAAAAGAAAAAAGAAAAAAAGAAAAAGTGGGACCAGTGGATGGCATAATAGTTCTATCGCTGGACCCTCATGGAGTTGATTGTGGTTTGAGTCCCAGACCTGGCAGCTTAAAACTCACGCTGGGTGCATGTGTGTGCATGCCCAAGATCCTGAGAGGAGAATGGAAGAGAAGGGACTGCGGTGTGGCTAACTTCCTGGGGAGTGGGTGGGTGATTTCTCGCTTTCTGTCTCTTGCTGTCTCTCCAGCAAGCACAAGCATCCTATAGCCAAAAAAAAAAAAAAAAAAAAGGCCATTTCTTGGGACAAAAGGCAGTTTCATGGGACCAGCAGGTGGTATGGCAGTTAAGGCACTGGAATCTGACATGAGCAACCATGTTTCAAGTCCCAGACCCAGCAGCTTGAAAATCATGCTGTGTGTGTGTATATGCATGTCCAAAATCCCAAAGAGGAAATGGAAGAGAAAGGATTGGTGGTGGCTAGGGTGACTTCTTACTTTCCCTCTGTGTGTTTCTCTCTCTCTAGCGAGTGTATGATCCCTCATGGCAAAAAAACAAACCAAAACAAAAACCCAGCTATTACTTTAAATAAAGTACATATTTTGAGACAAACTTAGGGTAAGGAGCTTAAAAGGAGTCTTAAGACTTTCCCAAAAGTATGTGTAAAAAATATGCGACCTTCATGTCAATTCCATTTTTCTATTCCAAATAGAAAAGAAGTATGTTCAATGTTCATTAAAAGCGTTTAATTATTTCTGCCTGTGTTTCAGTCATACTTTCTGTGGAGAAAAGAAATTTGTTTCTGTGAGACAAATGCAATAACCACCACACCACAGAAAACAACTAATAAGTTATTTTTATAACCTTAGAGTATTATAATGAAATTCCCTCCAAAGAATAGAAAATAACCTGGGAAGACAGTTCGAGTGAATCATATCTGATTTATTCCAAGGGGAAAATCATGAGGGACAGGAAGGAAAGCTGTGACACAACTAGTGGAAGCTGCCTGGAACTCGGCAACAGAGACCTACAGGAAAGCTGCCTCATCAGACTGCAACCTCAACTAAGGAAAGGCCTGGGATCTGAGATTTTTTTTTTTTTTTTTTTTTTGTGAGAGGTTTTTGCTATAGGGTGCGTGCACTCACCAGAAAGACAGAGACAGATAGACAGAAAGCAAGAAATCACTCCCCAGGGGGGATGGCCACGCCACAATTCCTTCTCCTCCATTCTCTTCTTGGGATGTTGGGCACACACACACAAATGTCCGGTGTTAATTTAAGCCACCAGGTCTGGGACTCGAACTGTGGTTGACCACACGGGAGTCCAGCAACATAGCCATTATGCTAACTGCTGGTCCCAACATTTTTTATGAAGTGTTCCAAATAAAGACGTATTACTTTTAAAGCATATAATAAATGAAACAAGTATGAAAGAATTTCCTGAGCATGCTGAGTTTGCATTAATGACTGCAAAAAATGCTGATCTGAAGTCATACAGCCTTAGGTAGAGGTTTAACTACAGTCTCTCTCCTTATTATATGGAAAAATGTCTTCATTAACAGATAATTACTAATATGAAATCACCATAGTCAAAACAGTTCACATACTATTGAGTTGTAGGAAAAGTCATGATGTATTTTTCTATGCAAAAATGTGTCATGCTTTTCCAACAACCTAATAGTTCTGAATTTTCAAAAACCTGAATGATCTCTAGATTTAGCTAAAAAACATCATGATCTTGCCCCTTTTTGTCAGATGAAATAACTGGACTATTTTAGAGCTGTTCACCTTTCAACACACAAGAAACACACACCTTTTAGGGAAGTAGAGGGCTGCAACTTCAGGTTCGAGAGCCTTTAAGTCATCGAGATAAATATCGTCAGGTCCTTGGTGCTGGCTTCTCTTGTGGACACCTGTTTTTATAAGAAGATCTTATCAGAGGTAAGAATTTAGTCACTATTTACATCTCTGCAATAAAATAAAGGTTTGCAAACAGTAGAATGACCATAATTGAAACAGGATTTTGTTTTTACATGTGTGGACTAACCTTACCTTTTCACTTGTGCTGGCTCTCAAGCATCCATGACAAAGGTAGAGAAATTCAGTGTTCAATAAACACATGATGATTTACTCATTATTTCATTTGTTGTTACATAAGTAATCCTAACCCCTAAATAATTTATATTTCATGGTCAATTTTTTTTTTGTATTTATAGGTAAGAATAAGCATGTCCAAACTGAGACCATACTCTAAAATCCTGTAAGTTGTCAAGAAACAGTGTATCCACGTAATGCCTGAATATCAACCGACATATTACCTTCTAACTAAAAGGATTAAGATTGTTTATGAGCCTAGATCTGGCAGACAACAGCTTACATAATAACGCCATTCAGTATTACTAATAATCAGTCATAATGAGACAAAATATAAAGTACTACTATGTTCTAAAAAATAATCTTTGATTAAAGAAATAAAGAAGTACTTAACCCAAATACAATTAAGTCTGTAGTCATGTACTATCCACTACAGTGACCACCAGCCACTTGTGGTTACTGGGCACTTAAACTGTCATTAGTCTGAAGTGAGTATGAAAATATGTTAAAATGTGTACACACCACTTACTCTAAAAAAGCAAAATATCTCGACTTTATATTGATTACATATTGAAATTATATTTTGGATTTATTGGACAAAATAAAATGTATTAATAAATGTCACTTGTTTTACACTTTTTAAGTGTCCAGGCATGGCACAAGGGTAAGACAACTGGACCCACATGGAAAAGGTTCTATGTTCACATTCTGGAATGTTTTAAGCATGCTGGGTGTGCATGTATGCCCATGATCTGGGCTGGCTGAGACTGGATGTCGATCATGGCATGAAGACCTCTGTTATGAGTGCTTTCTCCTAATCCTCAGAATAAATAGTTTTTAAAAATAAAATTAAAGTGGCCAGAAGAAGACTTAAAATTATGTATGTGGCTAATATTACATTTCTACTAGACAGTGCTATTCTACAGTTAACTTTTGGTTAAGAAAATATAGGGTTGTTGGGACCAGCAGCTGGCATAATGGCTATGTCACTGGACTCCCATGTAGTCGACTGAGGTTCGAGTCTCAGACCTGGCAGCTTAAACTCACGCCGGACATGTGAGGGTGCGTGCCCAAGATCCCTAGAGGAGGATGGAGAAGGGATTGTGGTGTGGCCATCTCCCCTGGTGGAGATTTCTCGCTTTCTGTCTCTTTGTCTCTGTCTTTCTGGCAAGGGCATGTGCCCTATAGCAAAAACCTCTCCCCCCAAAAATAAATAAATAAACAAATAAAAAAAATAAAAACATGGGGCTGTCACCTTGAAAAACAAATCGAACACTGGAGAGCATGAAAGAGGCTACAAGACAAATGGTTGGACTTTAAAAGGTCACTACCTTGGGGGAAGGCAGAGATGTGTGGCTATGTGAAAGAGAGAAACTGTGACAGTGGTAGAGGTGCTTTTCTAAATAAAAAGATTAAAAAAAAAACATAAAAATCAAATGTAGTATGTGGATCTTGATGACATCTTGATTTGGAAAAAGAAACCCTGCTGAAAAAATTAACAGTTCATATAAGCAAATATAAACTCTTCAGGATGACAATGGTACTACAGTTATGCAGGGAATGTTGTTACAGAGGGTGCCTTGGGGTTTTTAAAGGTGAAATGTCCTAACCTTACAATTTGTTTTCAAATGGTTTAAAACAATAAAGAACTATGTGTGTAAGTGAAAAGATGTGGAGAAATGGGAGAAGCGAATACGTGTAAAATTTTTTATAAAAAACTGGAAAATAAAAAAACATTGGGGAGGCCCCGTCTGGTGGTAGTCAGTCACATACTGAACTGCAGTGCTAGAAACCATATGGCCAACTATGAATTTAGATGCCAGGTCAGTCTGAAAACATGCCACAGGGGTGTGTACGTGTGTGTCCAAGACTCTGAGAAGCTGAAGGGCTAGGAAAAGGGGATTATGGTGTGGTGAGACCCTGTCAATGGTGGCACATGCACATGCTCTCTCTCGCTCATGTGTACACATGCACTATCATGAATAAAATTTAAAGAAGGAAAAAAAAAAAGCTGGAGAAGAAAGAATGAAGTCAAAATAGTGGAAACCACTCAGAATTCTTACTTTAGTCCGCTCCTACACTCACTATGGGCTAAGAATAGAGGTTATCATTTCTTAGGTTAAAACAAAGTTCTTACCCTAGAAGAACTGATTTCCTCTTCAGAGTAGAACAAAGAGTTATAGGCCTTTGGTGAAAGACCAGGTACAAAGTTAAGCCACCACTAGCTAGATGGTCAGGTGTCATTACAAATACCCCGACATTTATTTTATTTTAGATAAAATTACTTAGATAAAAATTATTTCTGAGTGACCTTGAAGTTCATACCTATAGTGGATTACATCAGTCTGTAATAATCTAACCTTTGGTATTAGAATGAAAACAATGAAGCAGGTATATGACAATGGGTAATTTTAGGTTAAGCTTTGCTGCCTGAAAAGTAAGGTCCAAGGCCAGTGTTCACAGAGTGTATGTAATGGCTGTCACTATAGCCAGTATTAATGGATAACTTGACATTTTTAAGTAGTAAGAATATGATTTAACTTGCATTCTGAAAGTGAGATAAAGCTGTTGAATCAAGAGTTGGATTTTCTCTTTATCTATTTTAGAGGAAAAGAATTAATGAAAGAAGAGAACATACATTATAATTAGGGCATATTTATGTTTACCCCCATCAATGGGAAAAAAAAACCAAAACTAAATTTGACCTCAACAAAAGGAGATGTTTCAGGTGAAAATATTTTCTCTATTCTAATTGTTCAGGATTCCATTTGACTTTGATTTATTCAGTCAATAAAGTGGTTTAATTTACTGATTAGAATGCATTAATTTATTTTCTACATGAATGCTTCTCAAGGGCCTACTAAGATGCATTACCTATAAGACAGTAGTCAGGAGGCTAGAATCCTGTGCCAGTGGAATGCATTACGTAAGGAGGAAGCAAAAGTTAAAAAGTAATTATAATACAGACCAGTCCTGTAGCCCAGTAGTTAAGGGAACCCAACCCACACAGTCAGTCACATGGTTTGAGTCCCAACCACAGCAGCTTGAATAACACACAGGGTGCATGTATATGCATGCCCCAAATCCTGACAGGATGGAGAAATGGAGAAGGGTATGACCACACCCCACTGGAGGGTGCTTTCTCCTTTTTCTCTGGCAATTAAAAAAAAAAATTCAAAATAAGGAATCATAATACAGTGTGACAGGTTCTGATTGGCAAATATAGCCTGTCATATATTATTTGAAATATTACAGTAATTCACCATCTAAATTCGCAATACCCGATGTCAAATTAGATAAATCGTTACCTTTCTTCTTGGATGGTGAGTCTACTTTAGATGCTGGTTTAGAATCCGAGGGAGCCTGTGATGATGATGGGCTGGAGAAGTGCTCTGCATCTAACATAGATGAAATCTGAGGACTTTCAAGAGGAGGTTCGAGTAGTTCTGCAGAAGTTGCATCACTCATCTGCTTACACAGGGCCCTGGGTTTGGGCTTCACTATGGTACAGACAGTATCTTCAATGGAAACATCCTTCTCAACTTCACTGATGAGGTTGTCCTCACTAGGAATGACCCGAAAATGGGTATTTTCCGAAGGTGTAATTGTGGCTGTTCTGGGATGATGGTCTAATCTCTCTCTTTTGCTGACCTAAAAAAGTTGAATTGTTCAAAAATTAAACTACTTATGGGGCCAGATAGCAATGTAGTGATAATCCCACATGGGGAGGGTTCCCACTTCATGTCTGGAGACCTTCTTGAGTAAGGCAGGCACATGCCTGCCCATGATCTGGGGCTGGCTGAGACTTGGGTGGATCATGTCAAGTCCCTGCTGGGGGTGTGCACGCTTTCTCTCTTTCATTTATGGAAGAAATAAATACACTGTAAAAACTAGCAAGAAAAATAAGTAAAAACTTTCAAAGGTTTGTTTGTTATTATCTATTTCTTAGGCTGGTAAACATGCTCATTTTATTTATATCTTTTTTTTTTTAAGATTTTTACCACAGGGCATGTGCATTTGCCAGAGAGAGAGAGTGAGAGGGAAAATTAGAAATCACCCCCAAAGGGGGATGTCCACGCCACAATCGCTTCTCTTCTACTCTCCTCCTGTGATTTCGGGCACACGCACACACATGCTGGGCGTGATTTTCAAGCTGCCAGGTGCAGGACTTGAACAGTGGTAGGCCATGTGGGAGTCCAGTGCCACCTTCTGGATCCCATTTTATTTATATCTTAAAATTCTCATTAAATATATTATTTTGGAGCTGGCTCTGTGGTACAGTGATAATGCTCTACTCTAGAAAAGCTAGATCCCCCATAGTGACTACAGTTCAAATCACTGGCCTGGTCAGCCCAAAGCACACCAGACACACTGGTAAGTATCCAAAGGGCTAAAGGAAGGAGACCATGTTATGAATATATGACTGGACTCCATGAAGGGTACTCCTCTCTTCCTTCCTCTTTCTCATGTGTACACACACATGCTCTATCTTTAATAAAGGAAAAAAACACATTAAAACAAGAAATATACTGGGCTAGTCAGTGAGTGGTGGCTAAGGTGCTAGATTCCAGAAGGCCGACTATGGTCTGAGTTCCAGATCCAGTGACTTGAAAAACATACCAGGCATGTGTGTGTGTCCAAAATCCTGAGAGGAGAATGGAAAAGGGATTGCTTTGTGGCTATCACCCCATGGGGTGATTTCTCACTTTCCCTTTCATTGTCTCTCTCTCTATGGTAAGCACATGTACCCTATGGAAAAAATATAAAAAGAAATAAGAAAAAGAAATACATCTTTCCAGCTCTTCCTTCTTTCATTATAAGTTGGCAAAAAAAAGCTTTAATAATTTCCTATTTAAAATTTCAGTGTTGAAATTTTAGTTTTCTTGAGGTTCCATTTAAAATTTTCTTATATTAACAACTAAAATTAGCCACAAAAACACACACACACACACACACACACACACAAAAAAACTACTGAGTTCATTCTGTTATAGACATACTGTGCAAAATTCATAAAAAATGTTAACCCTGAATTTACTTTTATAACCACATGAGGGCACTCCCATTGTTTATATTCACATAAGCTCAGCCAGGAACTGGCTTCATTACTACGGAAGCAGGGACTGAGTCCAACCATACATACTCCAGAAAGCAAGCCCCAGTACCTTGGTGGACTCTGGGAACCCGCCCCATGTCCATTCCATGTGGGATTCTGATCTGAGCAGGCTCTCGGCTGGTTTCACCTCCAGCTCTGAATCACTCTTAGGACACACTGCCTGGGGATAGGTGCTGCAAAAACAAGGGTAAATAAATGTGATGACATTCCAGTCTGGAAACCTTCAGCTTTGCTGAGCTTGACAGAGTACAATAAATATATGTTTGAATATGTTAGTTTTATCCAGCAGATATAAAGACTACTGAAGGCAATCAATTATTTCTTTCACTTGAGTTTTCTAATAAAATAATAACAATGCCACACAGTATTTACTGAGGACTTGCCAGGTTCTCTGCAAACACTTTAAATGCACTATCTCATGTACATCTCACGAGACTTCAATAGGGAAAATAATTTTATAGGAGAAGAAATGCACAAAAAGGTAATTAACTAACACATATGGACTGATCTTATCACAGAATAAACAGTATGACAAGTTTTCTTTCTATTATTCACAATCAATAGGTGATATTAAAAGATTAAAATTTAAGAATTCTAGATGCTTAAAATCTATGCTGATTATACAGATCAACAACTGATCAATGTTTTGAATCAACTTCAGGAAATAATTATTGAGAGAAAGGGTTCACATTTATGCTAAAAGTAAACATTCAGTTCCTCTACTGTATGAGAGAAATGGGAAATATTAGTACTGAATAACAGAAAATCTATTTAATATACATTCTCCTTACTCTTTCCTTTAACAAACTGAGAGAATTTTGAGGATACTTACTTCTCTAAAGGGGACCAATCTCCATCAGATAAGGGATAGTGATCCCCAGAATGGAAGAGCAAAGGCTCCTTATATTCTTCTTCCTTTAAGGAAGCATTTGAAGACCCTCTGTGAATAGAAAAAAAACAAAAGTAAAAACAATTACAATTTGTCAGTTTTTAAATATTTCCCCAAATCTCGGACAACACATGACCCAAACAATAAAAACGAAGGCAGAATAATGAACAACTAACCCATTTAAGAGGAAAATACAAGGTTAAACAGGATTCACCAATGGCACAAACCATATACTACTACAATCACTATTTAAACATGGAATAAATTAAGGAAGGACAGAGGATAAATGTGTTTTTAAAATAATTTTTTAATATCCCTTAGGGATAACTGATTCAAAGGCTGTAAGAAGAAAACTAGAGCTTTATGAATATTTCATTGGATCCTTACAATATGAGGTAGTAATATTCCAATTTAGAAATTATTAGATAATCAAGGATGCAGAGAAGATTAGTAACTTGCTCAAGTCAAAAAGCTAGTAAGGTGCCAGCCCTGTACCCTAGTGGTTTAAGCAGTTAGATCCAACATGGCTCCAAATGCTGAAAAAATGGAGAAATGGGAAAAGAGGATTGCGGCATGACCACAACCTACGGGGGGGGGGGGGGGGGGGTCTTGCGAAAAAAAAGGGGGGGGCGTGCTTTCAACTTCTTTCTCTGTTTCTCTGTCTCTGGCAAGCACACATGCCTTCTGGAAAGAAGGGAAGGAGAGGAAAAGAAAAGAGAGGAAGAGTGGGAGAGAGAAAGCTCCCAAAGGAGGGAGGGAGAGAAATTCAATGTTCTAATAAGACGGTGTTTTAAAGTTAAGATTATCTGTATCAGTCCAGCCTGTGGTGTGGTGGTTAAGACAACTGGATCCCACATAGCTGACTGCATGGTTTGAGTCCTGGACCCAGAGGCTTGAGAAACATGCCGGGTACATGTGTTTGCAAGCCCAAAATCCTAAAAGCGGGGGGGAGAGGGAGAGGGAGAGAGAGAGAGAGAGGTTATGGTTATGATTATGCCGTATGTGGGGGTGCTCTGGCAAATTAAAAACAAACAAAAGAATATCCACATCACTTAGTTTGTTAAAATAAAAATAGAAATAGAAACCAGTCTATTATTTTTATTTTCTTCTTTTACATCTTAATTCAACGTACTCTGCTTTACCATATAACTTTGACGTGAATAGCTTTCCATATGGTTGCATCTTTTAATTTTAATTTCTTTTCCTAACACTAATCTTTCTTCCATCCAGAGGATTACATGGACATTTAACTTCACTGAAGGGGTGAAAGCATACAAGAAAGGCAGACATATAGGGAAAAATAATCTTACTTCTTCATAAAGGAAAATTAAAACATTTATTTTCTCTTAAGAAAGTGAAAATCTGGGACCAGCAGTTGGCTCAAGAGCTATGTCACTGGACTCCTGTGTAGTCGACTGAGGTTTAAGTTCCAGACCCGGTGGCTTAAACTCACACCAAGTGTGTGTGTCCAAGATCCTGAGAGGAGAATAGAGGCGAAGGGACTGCGGTGTGGCCATCCCCCCTAGGGGGTGATTTCTCACTTTCTATCTGTCTCCCTGGTGAGCGCACATGTCCTATAGCAAAAACCTCTCAAAAAAAAAAAAAAAAAAAGAAAGAAAGAAAAGGGAAAATCAGATGCTTATAAATGGCCCAATATTCGTCAATTTGAAAAGGAAGCACTAGGTTTACCCATCAATATTCATATAAAGTGGTGAGAAAAGAAAAATGTAAAACCATTCAAATTTCTTTTAACAGAAATTTTTACATTACAAGTATTTTTGGAAAATATTTAAAGCAGTACAAATGGTTTAAAAAGTCAGCAAAACACAAACAGGATTTCATAAAATACTGAAAGAGAGAGATTGGGAACCATAAAAAATTTATGACCCCAGGAAGACATGAAATGGCCTATTCTGGGTATATCTTGACAAAAATAGAGCCCATTAGTCTAGGCCCATTATAATGACAGAAAAGGTTTCTGATGTTGAAATTTTTTCATTCTCTTTCTTTATTAAACTTGGACTCTAAAACCTGTTAAGCACTTTCAAAATAGCACATACACCTGAGAATAGGGGACCAGTGAGAGAGGCCATGGCAGCATAATTTAAAATGGAACACATGTCATAACCTGAGGATAAAAAAGAGAACATACATATTACGATGTGAAGAAAATGAGATGATCCTATGTGTGTTAAAATACAGGACTGCTGGGCCAGCCTGTGCCTGGTGGTTAATGTGGTTGAATTTCACATGATTTTTTGTCTACATGCAATCAATTCTTTTTTAACCGTTTTTGCCATAGGGCATGTGTGCACTTGCTGGAAAGAGACAGAGACAGAAAGAGGGAAAGTGAGAACTCCTCAGCAGGAGAGATGGTCATGCCACAATCTTCTCTTCGGATTTTGGGAAGGCACACACACACATGCCTGGCATGATTTTCAAGCTGCCAGGTCGAGAACTTGAACATAGTTGGTCATGTGGGAATCCAGTGCCTTAATCACTATGCCACCTGCTGACTTGCAATCAATGTTTTTAACACATGCATCTCCATAGTCTGGAAGTACAAAGATTCCTGTGTTACATTTAAGCCAAAAGCCCATCTATAAGAAGGGAAGGAGATTCACCAGGTACAGTTTAGACAAAGCCCTGTATGGCTTAAAGTTGATGATTTCCAAATTTGAGTATTTCCTAGCTGTGCAACAGCAATCTGCTTTAAAGTATGATTTCCCCGTTTTGTCTACCTCTTTCAAAGGGCCTCAATTAATCTTCAGTCTATTATTAATAAAGAACTTGAAAAGCAGAGTTTAAAATAGAATGCCATTTATCAAAATACAACAAAATCTGTTTTATGTATCTTCTCCGGAAATAATTTCTTTTTTAAGTGGTAAGGGGTGAGGAGAGTAAGATGTATCCCTAGTCACAACTACAAAAGCAGTTGACTTCCTATTCTTCATTCCTCAGATTCTTGAATGTGCTATTTAATAAACTGTTAATATCTTCCCTTAAATTACTCTAGAACTTATATAATGAGCTGAAAGGGGACTTGCAAACCATGCAGTTCAACTGTCTCATTTTATAGGTTAAGAAATGAAGGCCCTGAGTGATGAAGAGACTACTGTTCCACATCAGAATTAATTTTTCCATAAATTTGCCAGAGGGCATGAGTGCTCCCCAGAGAGGGAGAGAGAGGTGAAGAAAGCGCTCTTTAATAGAGCACTGTCACACTAGAATTCCTCTCCTCCACTTCTCCATCCCATCAGGATTTGGGGTACTGTGGAAAAGTGCCCAGACTGTTTCTAAACCACCAGGGTTGGGATTCAAACCTTGCAGTCAGTCATGCAGGATCCAGCTCCCTTAGACCAGGAAGTATGCCCAAGTCAAAAAAATTTTTTTTCCTTTTTTTGAGAGGTTTTCGCTATAGGGCGCGTGTGCTCGCCAGACAGAGAGACAGAGACCGAAAACGAGAAATCACCTGCCAGGGGGAATGGTCAAGCCGCAATCCCTTCTCCATTCTCCTCTCGGGATCTTGGGCACGCACGCACACGCGCCCGGCGTGAGTTTTAAGCCACCGGATCTGGGACATGAACTGCGGTCGACTACTTAGGAGTCCAGCGACATAGCCATTACGCTAACTGCTGGTTCCCCCAAGTCAAAATTTTTAAGACACTTGTTTACAATGTTCTTAATACTCCTAAAATCAAGCAAAAGATCTGAAATATTCTCCTAGATTACATGGAAGGGGAGAGTAAATTACTTTTAAGAACTGTACGCAGGCAGAAAAAAGGACAGGAAAAGTTTCTTTTCCAGGTTTGTGGTATTTTAAGGGCAAGCCCTGCAGCTTCACAGTTAAGGGGAGCAGGCTCTTACATGGCCAAACATGGATTGAATCCCATTGCCTTGAAAAACACAGAGTGCATGTGAGGGTGAGCCCCAAATCCCAAAAGGATGGAGAAGGGGTTTCAGTGTGACCAGACCTCATGGGGGGGGGAGATTCTCCCATCTCTATCTCCCTCCAGGGAGCAAATGTGCCCATAAAAGTGATGTTTAGAATGTTTACAATTAGGGACCAGCAGTTGGAGTAATGGCTATGTTGTTGGACTCCCATGTAGTCGACCGTGGTTTGAGTCCTAGACCTGGTGGCTTAAACTCACGACGGGCGCGTGTCCCTGCATGCCCAAGATCCCGAGATTGTGGTGTGGCCATTTCCCCGGGTGGTGATTTCTCGCTTTCTGTCTCTCTCTGTCTTTCTGACGAGCACACGCGCCCTATAGCAAAAACCTTTCTGAAAAAAAAAAGAATGTTTACAATTAAATTATTCTCAATTAGTATTTTGATACCAATGAAAAAAGAATTACCCAAGTTTGTTGATTTACTCTGGATTTGTAATTTTTATTTAAGAAAGATTTTTGCTATAGGGTGTGTGTGCTTATTGGAGAGAGACAGAGACAGAAAGCGAGAAATTATCCCCCAGGGAGAATGGCCATGCCATAATCCTTTCTCCTCCACTCTCCTCTCAGGATTTTGGGCATGCACCAACTGTTGGTCCCTGTATTTGTAATTTTTATAGGCATAGTTGAAACTGGTCTTTAAAACTGAATGTACTTTTTCACTATTGGTTTCCATCTTTTGTTATTTGATACTAACGGGAATTCTACATTCTTTCTGAATGGAAATCAAAGCCTAATCTATTCAGTGTAAGGAAAGTGAGAAAGATTATCGCTTGATGAACTGATGAGCAATAAAAGAGATGGGCAATAAACTTATAAACAAATTACATAAGTAGTCAACCTGTCAAAGGTTGAGACTGTATTCCAGGATTTGAACATCCAGCTTTCACAATTTTAGAAAATAAGTTAAAGTTCTGCCGGAAAGGAATTATACTTTGTTACTCACCAATGTAATGCAGTCAACTCTTTAAAATGGGGTGGGGGTTAGGGACATTGACACTGTGCACAACTGAAAATCAAGTGTAACTCCTGACTGCCTCAAACTTAACTACTGATAATCTACTGCTAACTGGATGCCTTAGACATTATTTTATAATGTTGTATGTATTATGTACTATATTCTCACAATATAGTAAGCTACAGAAAATATTTATTCAGAAATTCATTAAGAAAGACAAAATATATTTACAGTATTTATTTATTTATTTGAGAGGTTTTTGCTACAGGGCACGTGTGCTTGCCAGAAAGACAGAGAGACAAAGTGAGAAATCACCCCCCAGGGGGGATGGCCACACCGCAATCCCTTCTCCTCCATTCTCCTCTTATGATCTTGGGCACGCATGCACACATGCCTGGCATGAGTTTAAGCCACTGGGTCCAAGACTTGAACTGCAGTCAACTACATGGGAGTTCAGTGACACAGCCATTAAGCCAACTGCTGGTCCCAATACACTGACAGTAATTAACTGGAAAAAAAAAAAATCCACGTAGAGGTGGAAGTGCATAGCTCACACTCACGTTAAGGGTCAATTGTATAATTGTAATATACTAATAATACATTAGTAATAGTTTCTTACTCACTTGACCATTTAAAACAGACGTTTGGTAAATAAAACACATATTCAGGGCAGCCAGCAAGAAGCATGATGGTTAAGGCAGTGGACTTCCATATGGCTGATCACAGTTTGAGTCCTAGACTTGCCAGCTTGCTTTCTTCCTTTCCCTCTCTCTCTCTGGTCAAATTAAAAAATAATAACAAATGGAATTAAATAATTATTTTTAAAAAATAAAACAGGGGACCAGGCATAATGGTTATGTCGCTGGACTCCCATGTAGTTGACCGTGGTTTGAGTCCTGGACTCAGTGCCTTTAAACTCATGCTTGGCACATATATATGCATGCCCACGATCCCAAGAGGAGATAGAGGACAGTGGCTATCCCCCTAGGGGATGATTTCTTGCTTTCTGTTGCTGTCTCTCTGGCAAGCGCACATACCCTATAGCAAAATCTCTCTCTTAAAAAACAAAACAAAACAAAACAAAACAAAACAAAAAAACAGGGAACAGCAGTTAGTGTAATGCCTGTATCACTGGACTCCCATGTAGTCGACCGTAGTTCGAGTCTTGGACCTGGTGGCTTAAACTCATGCCGGGCGCATGTGCGTGCGTGCCCAAGATCCCTAGAGGAGAATGGAGGAGAAGGGACTGCAGCGTGGCCATCCCCCCTGGGGAGTGATTTCTCGCTTTCTGTCTCTCTTTCTGGCGAGCGCACATGCCCTATAGCAAAAACCTCCCCAAAAAAAGAAAAAGAAAAAAGGAAAAAACAAACAAATACTAGATCAAAGTGGGGTTTATTCTTGGTATGTACTTCATTTCCATAACTAGAGAAAAATTACTTCCCTTTTTTATTATTAAAAAAAAAAAAAACTTAAAAATTTTGCTATAGGGTGTGTGTGTTCCCCAGAGAGGGAGGGAGGAGAAGACGGAGAGAGGGAGAAAGAGAAAGTGAGAAAGTACTTCTTGGGGGGTTGGTGTATAGCCACAATGCAATCCCTTCTCCTCCATTCTCCTCTCAGGATTTTGGGCACGCATGCACACATGCCTGGCATGCTTTTCAAGGCACCAGGTTAAACAGCGCAGTTGGCTATCTAGGATACAGCCACCTAAACCACCACATCCGCTGGCTGGATAGAAACCATTTTAACAGACCTACTTTTCCCTGGAAGTAGGGCATGATCTCAATTTTTAGCAGCTGAGGTGAAGACACAAAATTGGACCAGCATCTCCCTCATAAAGCCACCTCCCCCATTCAAACACAGGGTTTAGAAATGTAGAGCCACTGTACACAGCAGCTTCTTGTCCAAAGGTCACCAACAAAGAGAACCACTCACTCACGGAGCCACAGGTGATCTTTCCAGTGCCAGGTCAATCAGCGGAACAGGTGGAAGAACATATAATTTTGAATTATATGTTCTATTCCCAACTATTACACTTAAACTACAAGCAGTCTGACTTGAAAACTGGCATGTATCATCAATATTTTGAGCTTTTTTTAGTAAGCTGGTAAGATTCCTTTAAACAACAACAACAAAAAAACCCCAGAAACCCTTTTCCTCTTCAACTTACTAGGACATTTTGATTATAAACTCAAATAAAACTAAACTTCTCAGGAACACATGAGATACTAAGTACAAGACGACTTTACTGGGTAGGGGTAGTCTGTAACTTATGTTATTGTCCAACTATACCTGCTCACCCAGGGGCAAGTCACCAATTCAATTCCTCCTTCTGACTTTAATTTATTAGATTTTGGAAATCTGATGAAAAGAGACACATTACCAGTCATGACAGATGACACTTTAGTACTACAGCAAGATGTCTAGTGGCGAATTTTGTGAAGTCTACAGGAAAGAAAAAGGGAAGAAAATGCTGTCCCACCTGCATCCCACAACTGAGTGCCAAGGGGAAAAAACAAGTCCAAAATTCATACTCATCTCCACAAAAGAAAAGGCAGCTTCCGGCTTAACCTGAGGCCTACCTACACCTGACTGGATTGCCCACTACCTGTACAAGACCTTCCAGGCTAAGGACTATACCTTGCTGCCTGGGCGCTCTTCTCATCATCAGAACTCACACCCACATCACATTTGTCTTCTGTAGCAGGAGAAGCAGCTTGCTCTTCCTTCTTACTATCCTGTTTGCATTTCTTTCTCCTCCTTTTTTTCTTTTTCACAGAACTTGGAGTGAAAACCGTTTCTGTTTCCAAGATGTGTGAGATGTCTGAAGTCTGACATGGTCTTCCATCTCCACCTGATTTCATCAAAGGGGTGTCAATATCTTTAAAGAACTGATCTTCAGTAGGAATCGGTGAGGTGGCAAGATATGCAGGAAGTTTTTCCTTAAAGAAAACATGGAGGAAACAAGTCATTCACAATAAACTGTACAGTAAAGGGAAATAATGATTAATTCTTCTGAGTATAAAAATGTTCACAGTGTGAGACAGAATATATTCCCTAAAGGTAAGAAAGTCACAGTGATATAAGGCACTGACTGCGCCACTCTGAGTAGATCTTCATCCTGTTAGACACAGCTAAGTGGTGGTTCATTTTGGTACATGTAACCAAGTATATTTAGAGGAGCTGATTTGCTAAATATCATGGAGCACACAAAAGCTATAATTAAAGCAGAGCCAATTAAATTCTTTGCAAAGATTTCAAAGCAGCACCCTTCTGAGGGAGCATCATAAAAGAACCAGTTAAGAACTTACGAAGAATAATTAAAGACAAATACAGAAAGTAGAGATTAAGGATACTGCATCTGACAAAAAGGAGCAGGACCAGTAAGTGATATGAGCAACTAAGATGAAATCAGAGTGGCTGCTGCTTATATTTTGCCAAATTAATTGAGGGCAGAGAAAGGCTACATCCTGTTAAAAATGATGACATTAGTGAATTTTTAATTCATAAAGTATTTAACAAATCCTTTTAGAAATTCAAAAGGAAATAAGGCCCAATATTTAGAAGCAATTAAACTCCTCATTTAATAATGAATAAATGATCAAGTCTGGTGTTCTATAAATTTTTAGCCATTTGTTTCATTCCTTTGTATCAATGAGAGAAATGGAAAGAAGGTAATAAATTAACCTCAGATAATTTAGAATAGTCAAGTTTTTAGCAAATGGTCCAGAAAATGTATGGGTGAATGTTTTTGAATTTGGCTTTGGTGAACATATTACCCTACTGTCAAATTTCTGTCTACCTAGGCAAAATCTGTGTTCACCAACACACAGAGAAACTGTGGTGATAATATATTCTGAATTCCTCAAAGCACCCAGGTGAGAGGCTGTGCTCTCTGACTGTAGGATTTTTAATGCATCCGAGCCTTTGTTTACTTTTATTTCTTGAAAGCTGTCTTATTTCCAGTGGTGTTTCCTAGGTCTATTATAGTAATGTTTGTTTGAGAGTAGGGAGGAACAGAAATAACCAGGATGTCTATCAGTAAGAGAATAAAAGACTGGTTAACTTTATTATGGTATATCCATACTATGGAATGCTATGCAGCTATTTAAAGAATAGTTAGTTCTAGAACTACTGACTTAAAAGGGATGTTGAGGACATATAACTGAATACAAAAAATTTGAGAAAAATAAAAATCAAATAAATAGCAACCTACCTAATGGATTTTGGGTAATTTTTATACCTTTCTAAATCATGGACTCCTGGAGGATTCATGACACATGGCAACTGAATGTTTTTTTCATGTCTATAGCATAGTGACTACAGTGTTTGTTGGATCAATTAACAATTAAAAAACATTACTATAGGGTATGTGTACTTATCAAAAGAGAGAGGGCAAGCAAGAAAGCACCCTCCAGGGAGGGTGGCCACGCTACAATCCCTTTTCCATTTTTCCTTTCAAGATTTTGGGCATGCCCACACATGCGCCAGGTGTCTCTCTCAAGAAATCAGGTCCCGGATTCGAACCTGTTTTCTTGAGACACACATCTATGAAAGCTCCAGCTGCCTTAACCACTACACCACCAGCTGGTCCCAATTAATAAATTTATTTTAAAAAGAAGCACACTATACTAGAGAAAATGTGGTCATGTGTGAAACAGAGGGAAAAACCTGAAAAGTTGACATTCTCCAAGTTGACTGTTTTTAATGGAATGGTAAAAAGAAACTATGGGAACTAGATAACAAACTTGTCAGTAATCTAGTCCTCTCACTTACTATGTCTGTTGACAAAGCCCACTCAGTGTTATGAATTATACATGGTTTTAAGAAATATACCAACAATCTTTTATTCTTATGACGACTGCTTTATTTTTCCATTCTACTTTTTGCCTCTGTCTCTACTGAGGCAAAATTGTGCTGAGGCTGGGTAAACACAAACAAGGTAATACAAAAACAAACAGAAAAAACCACTGATCTAGTAAGGCTCCCCTTCAGAAATCACACTGATACCTAAGTTGTTGATTTCTCTCTAAACAAACAAAAAAAATAAACATAATCTCATTTTACCATTTTTAAGGTGATGTTTTTCTCTATGAATCTATAACACCAAACTAGCAGGTCATCTTCAAAATAAAAAAAGTAGCTGTCCTCATAATAATCAATGCTTACCATCTTTGCTACATGAGATTCTACTTTTTATACAGAAAGATAAATGATGCCTTCTGAAAATTATTTTAAAGACTGACATTAAACCCATTAACAGTTTACCCCAGTCAAATCAGTGAATGCACAGTAGTGTGTGCCTTGGAAGGGGAGGATGAATAAATTGTGCTCTCTGCAGAAAGAAGCTGAACAGGTAATCATTTATAAAAGGACATTGGCCAGTTAATTTAAATCTCTTCC